TCTGGTACATACTCCTTGTTCCCAACTGCAGTGACGTGGTTCAGTGTGTAAGCATCAGGAACAGTCTCTTTTAATGGAGCTTTTTTACTAGTAGATGCCATTTTCAGGAAGTTTGAAACTGTGAAGAATTTTGTCTGAGAAAACATGTTAGCAAGAGTGAAGAAGATGATGGGAAAATATTAAAGTTTTTGATATGGTTTATTTATAATAGAAAATAAGAGAAACTCTTTAATTTCTTTGCTGAGCTGTCCAAGTTAATGGGGTGATTTGTCACTAAATTGGAAGCGGCAGTTGGGAGGTTTATTGCACCTAGATGGCCCTAACCTATTTATTTGGCGTCGTGATAATGAGGGATATGGGAAGTGGGAAGAGGCGTGGTCTCGAGGTGACTGTTGAGAAGAAATGTCATGATGGAATGGTGTCATCATATTGTGTGAATAGTTAGGGTAAAAATGCCCGTATCTCATAGAAGATGTCGAAAGAGGCCTTTTTGGAGGGAAATTTGTTAGTTGATATTTGTTAACCAATAAAGAAAACCCAGTAAACAAGGAAAAGTCTTAAAAGAGAAGCAGTTCGACCGCGCTTTGGGGACTTAGTGAAATTTTTAGTTGCTGAAGTGAGTGGTTCGACAACATCGACTTCGACCAAGCAGGTAGAGTTGAAATGAAGTTGGTCGAAGAAACAGTTGTTTGGGCACGATTTTCCATGTTCAAATATTAGTAACTTCTTGGGGTCTTATCTCAGAGGGACAGTGGAGGAAATTGGAAAACACACTACATGCAGAAGTGCACGTGGCGAACCAAGGGGAGAAGAATTTAGAGTAGTTATTTTATATTTCTATATATAGTGGTTCATTTTATTGGATCAGTGAGTTCATTTGTATTACAAAAAATCTCACAAAGAAACTCAAAGTACCAGGGTAAGAGAAATGAACGAATGGCTGAGAGAATGTAAGCACAAATGAAACATCATGTTTACTATTCAATACAAAGTTTCTTACTTTATTTAGTTTACATCGTCTTCCTCATTTTTTTCTTTAGCCAGCCTTTATTCCCTCCTTTAACGCTTTTCAATGTCTTTTATTTTCATTTTACTCTTTCTGCAAGAAGTTTAGAGATTCATTATCCCATTATCCTTACACATCCCTTCGACACAACCAAAGTCCATAATCCTAAGAATATAAAAGAAATAACAAAGAACAAACCCTTAAGCACTTTGTCCTAAGGATTCACTGGTTGATCCTGCTAGTAAACCATACATTTGGAGACCAACGCTTGTTTACCATTTTTTAGGGTAAACACCTACATAAGCAACTTTATCTTTTTTGTGATACTTATTCGTCTAGGCTTTTTCATCTTTCAAGCGTTCAACCTAGCGAACCATATCTGCCAATGCGCCATGTCCCTAAGGTATTAAGTATCTAATTTTTTCTTGATTGAATAATCAAGGCCACAAGCAGCTATTTTGACTAACGCATGCTAAAACACTTGAGTAAAACACCTTGCCTTGAGAATTCTAAACCTGTTTAGGTAATCATCAATCGACTCAAGGACCTTTTGCCTAACACTAACTAACTCCTTCAGACTAATCCTTGAGTGTCCCATGTTAAGTTATTCATGGAACAATCTCTCCAACTGACTCCATGTCTGCACAGAGTGTGGGGAAAGATTTGTAAACCAAGTAAATGCATTCTTTGTTAGAGAATTTGGGAAATACTTCATTTTCAAATTCTCATTATTTGTTATGTCTCCATCCTCGGTTTGATACCTAGCAACATGTTTGACTGTCGACTCACTAGTGTCTCTAACGAACTTAGCAAATTTTGGAACTTTCTAACCCCTAGGTAAATCTATTTGTCAAACATATTCTGACAAAGTGGATATGAAGTTAGGCCTATGAAGTCCCACATTCAGTCCGTCTTGGGCCAAAACTTGTTTAACCACATTTGTTATATTGTTATGTCCCCAAAATTATTTTGTTGCACATGTCTAAACACCTGGTCAACATATTGATTGCTTTGGACCATCAAAGATATAGGGTTATGGTATTTTATGTGTTCTTTCTCTTCCTTATTTGGGGGATGTTTAAGTGGTCAAAATCCTTGGCTCTGACCTACAATGGCTTGTGTCATCTCATTCTCAAGTGTCTCGACTTTTCTAATGTTTGATATTTGATGGGCCGGTCGTGCCTGCACTAGAGGCGTGTCAAAGAAGTCAACAATTTGACCCATTTTATTTTCCAACAACTTGTAAGTATGGTTTGTGTTTGTAATCAAAGGGTTGAAAATGGTTCCCATTTTTTGGGTAAGAGTATTAACTAATTCTAATTTACACTCATCCAGTTCTTGCCTCATATCCATCATAGAAGTAGTATTCAAGGATAACATTATTTGAGTGATGTAACTTATCCCTCCTAGTCAAACCATATTTTTAATGGTCAACGCAGAGGCATTGTATGGGTTGTATGATGGCCATGTGGCCATTGTGTTGTCACTAAAAGTTGACATATTAGTATGGAGGTTAGCCATCATCGACATTGGCATACCTTATGGGTAATCTCTATCGCTTTGCTGCATTGAGAACCTAAATAAAGGTCTAATGCATGGTTAAAAAGAGTATTCCCTGGCTTCGTTGACACCACGAGAGCAATTGTCCTAACAGGTGTTGAGATAACTAGCGCTTCAATCGTCGATCCGGCCAGTTGTTCTACAACATTTTAGGGATTGTTTTATGAATTAACGTTATCTACAGGAGGACGCGACATCTTGGGTAAAGATTCCCGCTTCTTAATCGCATACAAATTACTCAGTACAAATCATGTATAAATAACAAACTTATAGGAGAAAACTATGAAATATCTATAAAAAAATAAATGTTTTAGCACATGTCCCATTGGACGTGCCAATTTCTTTACACTGAAAATTGGTAAACAACCGTTGGCCTCTATTAAAGGTTACTTGGAGGATCAAGTAGAGAATCCTAGGACATAATGCTCAAGATTTGACTTTTATAATCTTCTTTGAAAATGACTGTTTTCGACTTGGTGAAAATCGTTACTAGAAGAGCATAAAAATGTAACTTCGACAATAGTAACAGCGAGATTGTTGTAAGAAACAAAAGTAAAATGACAATCTAATTAAAATAAGGATGAAAGCAACTGGGCAAAAAATGTAGATTGAAATGAAAAGCTTTGCATTAAAGTAAAAATGGTGTTTCAAAGTTCATAGATTCTCTCAAAAAACTCTTTTTTTCTAACGTTGTTACTTTGAGTGTAAGTGAGATTTTGTATTGAAATGAAAACACTGAATCCTACAAATGAAATTCCTATTTATACTAATATGAAATAACTGCTCCCAATATTCACATCTTCAACTTTCGCCACGTAGGAGTGTGCATGCACTCTGCTTCTGCATTCTTTCCACGTGTCCTTTAGGATGAAACTGAGAATTAGTTATTTATATTTGAACACAACATCTGCGCACCCAAATAACTATTAGTTTGACGCGTCTGATGCTGTCAAAATCGTGGATGTCGAAATTTCTCCAAAACATCCCTAAAAAATGTTGTCTCATTTTTCTTCTCTTGAGACTTCAACAATATACATGTCATCAGAGGTCCATATACCTTTAACTTTGACTCATGCTGGAGTTTTTGCCCTTGTCAAAAATCTCAACTAACACGATCGAGATCTCAACATGAACTATTTAGTACCTGAGCATTGGAAAATGTGTCATTTTAGATATTCAAATACATTATGACTCACTCATTATTTCTCATTTCTGTATCACTGATTTAAACGTTGAAATGTTAATCTTACAAGTTCGTCCAACTCCTTTGCTCTACCACAATGAGACACAAACCCACCATCTTATCTTTTATCACCAATTACTAACCAAACACATATTAATATAAAGGTAATGCTAACTTGTGTGTTAGGGGCACAAATTAAGAATCCCACTTATAAAAATTTTGTATTAAAAAAAATAATTAAATAATTAATTTTATTTATTTATATTAAAATTCATGCACAATTTTTAAAATAATATTATTTTATTTAATTCTTAACTTATAGCCTTAAATCAGTTGACATTTCTTTAATATATAAAAAATTAAATGCAATAAATATTTATAATATTTTTCAATTTTATAAATCTATAAACAATTAACTTTAAATATGTATCTAAAATAAAAATGACTTCTAATTTCAAACCAAAACACACTCCTTTTGAAGATTCTGAGTTAGACTTTTTATCCAAACCAGTAATCATTATTTTCTTATGATAATGTACTTATATTTCAATGATCTGATTGACTTTTCACGCTAATTAAAAAAAAGAATAAATAAATAAATAAAAGTGAATGATATTTTTTATTAAAATATTCTTATTATGTATTGAGAATGATGAAAATACTATTAATTAAAAATAAAATTAAAAAAGAAACATTAATAATTAAAATAAATCATTTATTTTAAGACGCTCATTTATTTTAAATACAAAATAAAAATAATATTTATAAAACAGTCAAGCATCCCGTTATTAAAAAAAACAATACAAAATGGTAGTAAAACATAATAAATATTTATTTATGAAAAGAAGAGAGATATTTTGTAACGATGTGGTTGAGTACAGTGTACGCTGTCGACCACTCGGTACGTCGACACAACACAAGAATACAAGCATAAATAGAATGAGTAATAGTCCCCGTGACTTTGCCAAGTGTATGGTTGTGAATATTACAACTTAGTGAATGAAAGCGAATAATGAGCACACGTTACACTCCGCATTTGTTCCTTCGTCTATATTACACTTCAACTCTCAACTTTCCTTTTGAAAAGTCTTATCCAAGTCGCCCCCTTCCTTTCTTCCATTCAATTTCCTTTATCAGACACACATCGTGTGTCACAACACACACTTCTACTTTCTTCTCTCTCTAATTGACATTATATACTAGACACACCCCCCTCAAACCGTTCATACCCTCCCCTCGACATACCTTACTATGGATTTTAAGACACCTCTTTTTCTCTTTCTCTTGTTTGTTATTGTCTCAACCTCCCAAGCCCTCAAATTCGATATTGGAGGAACTCCTGGATGGTCTCTAAACCCTTCCGAGAATTACAACCAATGGTCTGGAAGGAACAGGTTCCTAGTCAACGACATTCTGGGTAATTTTTTTACTATTTTTTATTTGTTCATCACATACTACGGGTTTTTAGTGTGTTGTTTTTTATGTCTGACTAGGATGTTTTGTTTTGTCTGTTGAATTTCTTAAACTTTGGTTGGAATTGAAATAATATGGTTATTTATTTGAATTTATGATATAGTTTTCAAGTACAAGAAGGGTTCAGACTCGGTGTTGGAAGTGAACAAAGAAGCTTATGATAAATGCAACAAAACAAACCCAATCAACAAGTTCGAAGATGGTAACACAGAGTTTACTTTGGATCGATCTGGGCCATTCTATTTCATTAGTGGAAATGATCAAAACTGTGAAAAGGGTCAGAAATTAACCCTTGTTGTTATATCCCCTAGAGGACACACACCGAAATCTTCTCCTTCACCGTCTCCCTCTCTTTCCGCTTCTCCTCCTGCAAATACACCAAATCTATCTCCATCCGTCAGTACGCCTCCAGCCGGTGAACCTACGGCTCCACCTCCTACGGCGGGTGGACCACCTGCTCCATCACCGATCTCTCCTTCCTCGGAAGCTTCACCGCCATCTCCATCTCCAACTATACCAGCAGATGGTGCCGCGGCGCCGGGTGCACAGTCTATGGCACCTGGGGGAGCAGCGGTTCCACCGGCGTCATCTGATTCAATAGCGCCTTCGAGGTCTCTGGTGTATTCCGTTGCAGTTGTTGTCGGTGCTGTGTTTTTGTGTTACGGAAACATTTTGGGTTGAAACATGAATGAGCGGTATGATTATGCTGTAATAAATTTTTAGGAGATTTCTCATTGCTACGGTCACATGGTTGGGTATGACTAATAAACATCATTTCGTTATCATCATTTTTAGTTTCTTATTTATTTGGGTGTTTTCATTGGTGTATTTGTTGTAGAACGATTCTATTGTATCTTTCAGTTTTGTGTATCATTGTTATGTTATTATATGTAAGAACAATAAAGGTGATTTATATTTCTATTATTATTATTATTATTATTATTATTATTATTATTATTATTATTATTATTATTATTATTATTATTATTATTATTATTATTATTATTATACTTCAAACTAAAATATAAAATAAAACTTAGTTGTTTTTGAAGCACTTATGAAAATAGACCGAGAAACATCTTATAAATAAGTTGTGTACATCTTAAATTTTATTAGAACTCGAATAAGGTCTGTTTTGTGCATCGATAATTTATAAACGGTCATAGTTTGTCTATATTCTGAGTTATTCTTTAAATTATGAAAAGTCTAATAAAGGTGTGTCTGTTACAAATAGTCGGTCAAATAGTCACGAAACTATTATAGGTACTTATCAAATCAGTCACAAGTGGTTAAATGGGTAGTTACATTTATTATTGGACATAAAGTCTATTAATTAAGATTATTCAGATGGGTTTCGGTGGACATTATAAGAGGTCCTGGAGACCAAAGAAAAGGGACAACTAATTGATAAATAACACAAAAAGAGAAAACATACAAGAAACCTTGGACCACCAACAATGGTGGCTGTTGATCCATCCTAACTTACTTCCTTTCAGACAGGACGATTGTGGCTTCACCTAACTAGCTTCAGGGAGGTTTCTCCAAATAATGTTTAGCAAGAACATTTGGCATTCACCATTGAGCTCGGATAAAACTTTTTCGGGCTACACAATCAAACCTAAATGTTCACTTTTTCATAGCAAATGAATTTCCAATTTCACAAGTCAGATTTATTGAACATCTACATTATACGAACCTTTAAACACTTTACTTGAGAGTTTATCTGTCAAAAGCCGTCAAATTGCATTAGTTTTCAGATAAGTCTTTACTGTTATAATTTATGTTATTCTTTTTTCATTAGTCAACGTGTTATATCGTATTAGATTACTAAATTATAGATCAAATAATGAGATATACATATATTAAATCCATTAACTCTGAAGTGTGATCTAGGTATTACGTGTACTGTGTAACTTAGTAAACATTATCCAAATTCGATTTCGACTCATTTCAACCAAATACTTATTCGATCAAACAACATCGGAGGCGTGGCATTGTTGGCGTCAAACTGTAAAATATCAAAGTCAATCTAAAGACAGAGGTGCACTCGCTTTGGATAGATCCATATGTAAGAGCCATTGTTTCCCGGGATTCCGACCTCAACCAGGTTCGGGTTGTGATGCGTAAGCATGCAGCCGAATGAAAGGTATTCACTATTTGTTATTGTGAGCATAAGCTTTATTATTACCAAGGAAACACATCGATTGTTAAAGAAGACGACAACAAAATCGCAAATTTGAGTAAAGAGATGACGCTTGTGTAATACCATAATTTTTACCCCTAAGATCCCACATGTCATTTGTGTGAGGGCAAAGCCTCATAGATAGATGCGCTCGTTTCGATAATGTCAAAACTCAACTCCATAGAAAAATGTATGTTGAACGTTGTCACCATGTCATATTTGCATGTCTTGTCTCTCATAAGTCAAACACTCATAAAAAACATGACTGTTGCATATAGAGATGGCCAAATCTATGTTTCATATAGGGTTGGCTTAGTTAGTCTTGCTTGCCATACTATAGGTTTCATTAAAAGAGTCTTAACGCATGAAAATTGGAATGTTTGCCTATTTAAGGGCTTTGAGTCGACTCAAAGTCTGCTCTGGTCGACTCATACAGCTAGTCATTTTAATGAATTACTCTCAAGAGGGCTCGCGTCGACCCTCCTATCGACTCATATTGTGACCATTTGTATCTGGCTAAATTTGCATGTTGTGCGTCGACGCATGTCATGCTCCGGTCGACGCATGGTCCTGATTTTTGCATAATCATGTATACGGGTAAGCTCAGGTCGACCCCTTTACTGCATAGGTCGACCGCTCGCTGTTTTAAGTCAAAATTATGTTATGTCAAATTATTTTGTGAGTCTATTATATTTGTTAAGTCAGTTATGTTTTGTATATAAGTTGAGTTGTGCTATTCCTTTCACATCAACTAAGAAAACAAGAAAAGTGAAATTTACGTGTCGATTTGGTTCTCATCATCTTCATTCTCTTCATAGCATTTCACAACAACTACACATAATCATTTTAGTTGTGCATTGTGCATGTTCGAGGTGATAACATCCAAAGCCGAAGATTGGTTTAATCTGGTTTGGGTTGAGTAATTGGCAGGTTTTTCTTGAATAAAATCGTTAGGATTTTGTCCTCCAGGAATCTCAGGTTTTGGGGGTTTTGCACGAATCGTTCCATCACAGATTCAGCTGAGCGAAGGTAATCGAAGAGCGGGAGGTTCTGTCGGTTTAATAGCGGTAAACAGAGGATTGTGAGTGGAAGATTCTGGTTCGACACGTAGGTGACTGAAATCAGCCGGGCCGGATTTGAAGACCGAGGGTTGTTCAAAGAGAGTGTCGTAATCGAAGGTTTACTCACCGCATTCGAAGGACTTGATTCAACTTGAATCAAGGGGCAAGAAGAAATAGGCTCTACAACAATAAATTGTGTTCGATTGTTTGATCTCTCTATTTGCTTCTTGTATAAACATTGACCAACAGGTTATATCTATCTATATACAGGTCTCAATTCTATTGTTAGAATTGAGGGAAGACGTACCCTGAGCGAGGACGACGGAGGAATTGCCTCAACAAATCGTTGTGTCTTTTTCCTTACGTTTATACTGCTAAATTTATGAGCTTTTAGTGTAAACGATTTGTCAATCAAATTCTGATTTGAGTCGTGCTGAACTATTTTTTAAGCTAATTACAATCATTGACTGTAATAGAAAACTTGAGCACTCAACTCTCAAAACAGAATTCACTTGTAGTGCTCTGCACTCCAAGTGTTTGATAAATTGTGTGAACTAAAAATTTTGTGTGCTGTCTTTTCAAATTGTTTATATTTTAAAGGCATTGGAACTAGTCACACCTTAAAGGCATTGAAGTATGATTAAAGTGGTGATTCTTAAATCTCGTTTATCAAATTCCATAGGCTTTACGCATATCCGGTTTTCTAGTAATTGTTCATTTTAGACGTATATAGTTCCTTAGCCGATTCCTCCTTAAACATTTTTAAAAAATCAATTTTTGGTAGCGCCGATTCTGTTTTAAACGAACGATCTATTCAACCCCCCTTCTAGATCTGCGCCATCATCTAACAAGTGGTATCAGGAGCACCGGTTCATTCCGTGCTTCAATTATAACTTAGTAGAAAATGGCTAACGAATCTAAAGGGGCTTATAATAGAGCACCTATTTTCAATGGAGAAAACTATAGTTACTGGAAAGACTATAAAGGAAGCAAATGATCTTATGACCTTGGACCTTACAACACTCTTTGGAAAGCTCCAAGAATACGAGCAAGTGCTTCTTAGTCTCGAGCAATTTGAGAAAAAGAAAAAGAAGGAGAAAACGAAAAATGCGGAAAAGAGGTCCATAGTTCTAAAGGCTTCTTGTTCAAAGTCCTATGCTAAAGAGCTGAGTGATTGCGATACGAGTGATGACGAAGATGACGAAAAGAATGAGGACATGGGGCTATTTGTAAAGCGATACAATCGCTATGTCAAGAAAAATGGTATCCAACATTTTGAAAAGAATCTAGTCAATTTCAGAAAACAATCAAGACATTCTAAGAATGATGACAACAAAGGAAGTAGAGAAAAAGGGCCGTGCTTAATTGCGGAAAAGTCATACATTACAAGTCGGGCTGTCCCTTGATGAAAAAGGACAAAGGAAAGGAAACTAATCGGTCTCACAAGAAGCAAGTTAAGCCGAGAAGAGCTTACATCGCATGGGATAGCGAGTCATCCGAGGATGATAGTTCTAGTGACGAAGACGAATCTGTCAACCTTTGTCTCTCCGCTCATCAAAAGAAGAAAAACAAAAAGGTACGACATGCAAAATACGATAGATCTACTAGATTGTCTCATCCGAATTGAAAATTTCTTTTTATACCTTACATCACGAAGCCAAAGAAGCCTTTAAAAGGCTAGCCTCAAATAAACAAAATTTTGCTCACTTAGAGCAAAAGATTCTTGATTCCGAAAAGAAACTAGAGGCTTTAAAGGCTTCCATAGTGGAAGGAACAAAAGTGGGATTGTGAGGAAATAAGAAAAAGAGTAGTTAACTTCGGGTGTAATACTTGTTACATTTGGCAAATGAGGTTAGAAATATCAAGGACAAACTTAACAAGGCTCTAGAATCCAAAATCACATTTGTTATCGATAAAGCACATTTTAGAAAGAGTATGATTAATCCCTATCAAAAATACACATATGTGGTAAAGAATCATGATAGCAAAAGTGATACAAGAGTTAACTTTTTTTGTTTGTATTGTTGCAAGAAGGGACACACCATTGCTAAATGCGCTTTAGGAGATTTTCGGTTCCTAAATGGGTTTATCAATGGTTGCCTAAATGCGACCATGTTTCACTCACAACCAAGGATCCAAAAAACAATTGGGTACCTATTCTTGTTAATTGTGTTCATAGGTACAACGTCTTGAGACTACCGAGAGAAGATGGGTTCTCGACAGTGGCTACTCAAGACATATGACAGGATACATATCTCTCTTCATTGACTTTGTGGCAAAGAAGAAGGGATTTGTAACCTATGGAAACAACAACAGGGGAGCGATACTTGGAAAAGTGTCAGAAAAGATAGTTTATTTCATGGTGCAAGTGTATCTTCTGAAGACATACTCAAAGGTGCTGAGACGAGAATTGATCAACCTAACCCAGCCAAAGTTGA